GTTTAGTGTAAAGTTAGTTAGTATTTCGAGTAAGTACTAAATATTTATGTAGTATGTGAGAAATAAAACAGAGCAGCTATTTAATCATATATTGTTTAGTTTTTTTCCTCGGCAGTATATAAATTATATTAAAATAAAGAACTTTTATTTAGGAAGGGAAGTTTTGCTTAGAACGTTACAAAATTTCTTAAGACTTTAACTGGACTAAAATTTAACTGAATTAGGAATGCACTAGAACTGAACTAGAAATGAACTAGAACTGAACTAGAACTGAACTAGAACTGAACTAGAACTGAACTAGAACTGAACTAGAACTGAACTAGAACTGAACTAGAACTGAACTAGAACTGAACTAGAACTGAACTAGAACTGAACTAGAACTGAACTAGAACTGAACTAGAACTGAACTAGAACTGAACTAGAACTGAACTAGAACTGAACTAGAACTGAACTAGAACTGAACTAGAACTGAACTAGAACTGAACTAGAACTGAACTAGAACTGAACTAGAACTGAACTAGAACTGAACTAGAACTGAACTAGAACTGAACTAGAACTGAACTAGAACTGAACTAGAACTGAACTAGAACTGAACTAGAACTGAACTAGAACTGAACTAGAACTGAACTAGAACTGAACTAGAACTGAACTAGAACTGAACTAGAACTGAACTAGAACTGAACTAGAACTGAACTACAACTGAACTAGAACTGAACTAGAACTGAACTAGAACTGAACTAGAACTAGAACTGAACTAAACTGAACTAGAACTGAACTAGAACTGAACTAGAACTGAACTAGAACTAAACTAGAACTGAACTAGAACTGAACTAGAACTGAACTAGAACTGAGCTAGAACTGAACTAGAACTGAACTAGAACTGAACTAGAACTGAGCTAGAACTGAACTAGAACTGAACTAGAACTGAACTAGAACTGAACTAGAACTAGAACTGAACTAGAACTGAACTAGAACTGAACTAGAACTGAACTAGAACTGAACTAGAACTGAACTAGAACTGAGCTAGAACTGAACTAGAACTGAACTAGAACTGAGCTAGAACTGAACTAGAACTGAACTAGAACTGAGCTAGAACTGAACTAGAACTGAACTAGAACTGAACTAGAACTGAACTAGAACTGAACTAGAACTGAACTAGAACTGAACTAGAACTGAACTAGAACTGAACTAGAACTGAACTAGAACTGAACTAGAACTGAACTAGAACTGAACTAGAACTGAACTAGAACTGAACTAGAACTGAACTAGAACTGAACTAGATCTGAACTAGAACTGAACTAGAACTGAAATAGAACTGAACTAGAACTGAACTAGAACTGAACTAGAACTGAACTAGAACTGAACTAGAACTGAACTAGAACTGAACTAGAACTGAACTAGAACTGAACTAGAACTGAACTAGAACTGAACTAGAACTGAACTAGAACTGAACTAGAACTGAACTAGAACTGAACTAGAACTGAACTAGAACTGAACTAGAACTGAACTAGAACTGAACTAGAACTGAACTAGAACTGAACTAGAACTGAACTAGAACTGAACTAGAACTGAACTAGAACTGAACTAGAACTGAACTAGAACTGAACTAGAAGTGAACTAGAACTGAACTAGAACTGAACTAGAACTGAACTAGAACTGAACTAGAACTGAACTAGAACTGAACTAGAACTGAACTAGAACTGAACTAGAACTGAACTAGAACTGAACTAGAACTGAACTAGAACTGAACTAGAACTGAACTAGAACTGAACTAGAACTGAACTAGAACTGAACTAGAACTGAACTAGAACTGAACTAGAACTGAACTAGAAATGAACTAGAACTGAACTAGAACTGAACTAGAACTGAAGTAGAACTGAACTAGAAAACTGAACTAGAACTGAACTAGAACTGAACTAGAACTGAACTAGAACTGAACTAGAACTGAACTAGAACTGAACTAGAACTGAACTAGAACTGAACTAGAACTGAACTAGAACTGAACTAGAACTGAACTAGAACTGAACTAGAACTGAACTAGAACTGAACTAGAACTGAACTAGAACTGAACTAGAACTGAACTAGAACTGAACTAGAACTGAACTAGAACTGAACTAGAACTGAACTAGAACTGAACTAGAACTGAACTAGAACTGAACTAGAACTGAACTAGAACTGAACTAGAACTGAACTAGAACTGAACTAGAACTGAACTAGAACTGAACTAGAACTGAACTAGAACTGAACTAGAACTGAACTAGAACTGAACTAGAACTGAACTAGAACTGAACTAGAACTGAACTAGAACTAGAACTGAACTAGATCTGAACTAGAACTGAACTGAACTAGAACTGAACTTGAACTGAACTGAACTAGAACTGAACTAGAACTGAACTAGAACTGAACTGAACTAGAACTAAACTAGAACTGAACTAGAACTGAACTAGAACTGAACTAGAACTGAACTAGAACTGAACTAGAACTGAACTAGAACTGAACTAGAACTGAACTAGAACTGAACTAGAACTGAACTAGAACTGAACTAGAACTGAACTAGAACTGAACTAGAACTGAACTAGAACTGAACTAGAACTGAACTAGAACTGAACTAGAACTGAACTAGAACTAGAACTAGAACTAGAACTGAACTAGAACTAGAACTAGAACTGAACTAGAACTGAACTAGAACTGAACTAGAACTGAACTAGAACTGAACTAGAACTGAACTAGAACTGAACTAGAACTGAACTAGAACTGAACTAGAACTGAACTAGAACTGAACTAGAACTGAACTAGAACTGAACTAGAACTGAACTAGAACTGAACTAGAACAGAACTAGAACTGAACTAGAACTGAACTAGAACTGAACTAGAACTGAACTAGAACTAAACTAGAACTGAACTAGAACTGAACTAGAACTGAACTAGAACTGAACTAGAACTGAACTAGAACTGAACTAGAACTGAACTAGAACTGAACCTAGAACTGAACTAGAACTGAACTAGAACTGAACTAGAACTGAACTAGAACTGAACTAGAACTGAACTAGAACTGAACTAGAACTGAACTAGAACTGAACTAGAACTGAACTAGAACTGAACTAGAACTGAACTAGAACTGAACTAGAACTGAACTAGAACTGAACTAGAACTGAACTAGAACTGAACTAGAACTGAACTAGAACTGAACTAGAACTGAACTAGAACTGAACTAGAACTGAACTAGAACTGAACTAGAACTGAACTAGAACTGAACTAGAACTGAACTAGAACTGAACTAGAACTGAACTAGAACTGAACTAGAACTGAACTAGAACTGAACTAGAACTGAACTAGAACTGAACTAGAACTGAACTAGAACTGAACTAGAACTAAACTAGAACTGAACTAGAACTGAACTAGAACTGAACTAGAACTGAACTAGAACTGAACTAGAACTGAACTAGAAATGAACTAGAACTGACCTAGAACTGAACTAGAACTGACTAGAACTGAACTAGAACTGAACTAGAACTGAACTAGAACTGAACTAGAACTGAACTAGAACTGAACTAGAACTGAACTAGAACTGAACTAGACTGAACTAGAACTGAACTAGAACTGAACTAGAACTGAACTAGAACTGAACTAGAACTGAACTAGAACTGAACTAGAACTGAACTAGAACTGAACTAGAACTAGAACTACTAGAACTGAACTAGAACTGAACTAGAACTGAACTAGAACTGGACTAGAACTGAACTAGAACTAGAACTGAACTAGAACTTAACTAGAACTGAACTAGAGCTAGAACTGAACTAGAGCTAGAACTGAACTAGAGCTAGAACTGAACTAGAACTGAACTAGAACTGAACTAGAACTGAACTGAACTGAACTAGAACTGAACTAGAACTGAACTAGAACTGAACTAGAACTGAACTAGAACAGAACTGAACTAGAACTGAACTAGAACTGAACTAGAACTGAACTAGAACTGAACTAGAACTGACTAGAACTGAACTAGAACTACTAGAACTGAACTAGAACTGAACTAGAACTGAACTAGAACTTAACTAGAACTGAACTAGAACTTAACTAGAACTGACTAGAAATGAACTAGAGTTGAACTGGAACTAAACTATAAACTTGAACATATTCCTTGGAATACTTCCCCTTGTGTATAGAATATTTACATATACATTACGCTTTGTGAGTGTAAATTTTATATAAAAAACAGTCCACATACATTTAAAAGTCAAAGATCACGAATTTTTTTCTCGACTTTGTTCGCTCTTTTTCCTATACTACTGCAGTCTACAGCAACCTTTCAAGTCTTAACACTTACTGTTACTTAAAATGTGCAATTTTGTTGTGCTGTTGCATTTTAGTTCTTAAAAAAACGAATATAAGCAACGAACTAAGTGGGAAGTTATAAGCGTAAAGACTTGAGCATAGAATTCTTAGAATTTGAATATTGTGTGAAATAACAACTGCAACTAAAAAATATAAAGAAAAAACGACAAACAGAAGACATTGGCATGACTTCCTAAAAAGACAGTATTCCATAAGGAAAAAACAACAAAAACTACTTCTATGTACAACACTAACTACTGACAAGATTGCTAGTTTAAACAAATGTACATAAATACTCTCATACATATTTATATGTAAATAGATACCTAGCCGAATATACATACATACATATACATACGTATAGTAGACCCATCATATGTACAATTTTGTAAGACCTGGCTATATGGAAAATGGAAATATGCACTCAGGCGTGGGCTATCAGTTTTTTTTGTTGGCCTTTTCTGTTTAGATGCCATACTTTCCCCTTAAGCCAACAAAACAACAACAAACATGAAATCTTCAAGAGCTTTTTCAAAGTAACAAACAAATCTCAAAAAGGGATACTTTATTCGTTCAACAAAAGGGTCATACATCTATCTAGCTGTTACAGCAAAGGCACTTAGATTTACTTAAATAAGGTAGAAAACAAAGAAATGAAAAAGACTTACCCGAAATACTAAACTTGAGCTGGTAAACGTTGGTCGATTGTCATTCAAATTAACACCTCAACACGCAGCAAACGTATTGATTGTTTTGGTGGATTGCCACCGTCTGTTGCTGCCACAGCCAAACGATAAATGCTGCGTTCCTCATGATCCAGCACGACCAACGTACGTATGACACCCGTGTTGGCGTCTATGCTAAACAGACCAAAGCCATCCGAATCACGACCTTTTAATATCGAATAAGTGATCGATGCATTTTGTCCATTATCACGATCGACAGCACGTATGCGCACAACTTCAGTGCCTGGTGGCTGTTCCTCTCGTACGCTGACCACATCCTCTTGCGGATCAACAATCTTCGGTTGATTGTCATTGACATCGGTTACATGGACTTTGACAGCGACGCGTGAACTACGATACGGTGTACCTTGATCGCGAGCCTCTGCTACTAAATCATAAACAGAACGCTGTTCACGATCCAAAGGTTCGCGTGTTGTTATTTCACCTGAAATGAAAATGAAGAATAGAGGGAGTTAGTGAATGTTTGATTATGTGAATGTGGGGGTTGGTTGTTGAGCAAAATTTAAATAACGTTTTCTGTTGTTCATGTGTGAAATGATTTGTTTGGTAATTAGAAGGGATTTTGGTTTACAATTTGGAAGCACTCTTGATTACTTATATATGTGTTTTGTATTTTGCCATACATACATATCGCACACACAATACAAAAGTGACACAACTCAAAATTTTATTTTTGCGTTTTTATATTCTTTAAGCCTTAAGTTTAAGCCTTAAACTATACACAAGATACTTGTTTAACTCTACAAAATATTAGTGTATTTTGTTGTTAACTGTTCAAGAAAAAACGTTATGTCTTTCTTTATCTTTCAGAATTTGTAAAAAATTTGTTTCCTTTTCTTTAAAAAATTTTTTTGAGTTGTGTCACTTTTGTACTGGGTGTGCGATATGTATTTTAGTTCAGTTCTAGTTAAGTTCTGGTTCAGTTCTAGTTCAGTTCTATTTCAGTTCTAATTCAGTCTAGTTCAGTTCTAGTTCAGTTCTAGTTCAGTTCTAGTTCAGTTCTAGTTCAGTTCTAGTTCAGTTCTAGTTCAGTTCTAGTTCAGTTCTAGTTCAGTTCTAGTTCAGTTCTAGTTTCAGTTCTAGTTCCAGTCTAGTTCAGTTCTAGTTCAGTTCTAGTTCAGTTCAGTTCAGTTCTAGTTCAGTTCTAGTTCAGTTCTAGTTCAGTTCTAGTTCAGTTCTAGTTCAGTTCTAGTTCAGTTCTAGTTCAGTTCTAGTTCAGTTCTAGTTCAGTTCTAGTTCAGTTCTAGTTCAGTTCTAGTTCAGTTCTAGTTCAGTTCTAGTTCAGTTCTAGTTCAGTTCTAGTTCAGTTCTAGTTCAGTTCTAGTTCAGTTCTAGTTCAGTTCTAGTTCATTCTAGTTCAGTTCTAGTTCAGTTCTAGTTCAGTCTAGTTCAGTTCTAGTTCAGTTCTAGTTCAGTTCTAGTTCAGTTCTAGTTCAGTTCTAGTTCAGTTCTAGTTCAGTTCTAGTTCAGTTCTAGTTCAGTTCTAGTTCAGTTCTAGTTCAGTTCTAGTTCAGTTCTAGTTCAGTTCTAGTTCAGTTTAGTTCAGTTCTAGTTCAGTTCTAGTTCAGTTCTAGTTCAGTTCTAGTTCAGTTCTAGTTCAGTTCTAGTTCAGTTCTAGTTCATTCTAGTTCAGTTCTAGTTCAGTTCTAGTTCAGTTCTAGTTCAGTTCTAGTTCAGTTCTAGTTCAGTTCTAGTTCAGTTCTAGTTCAGTTCTAGTTCAGTTCTAGTTCAGTTCTAGTTCAGTTCTAGTTCAGTTCTAGTTCAGTTCTAGTTCAGTTCTAGTTCAGTTCTAGTTCAGTTCTAGTTCAGTTCTAGTTCAGTTCTAGTTCAGTTCTAGTTCAGTTCTAGTTCAGTTCTAGTTCAGTTCTAGTTCAGTTCTAGTTCAGTTCTAGTTCAGTTCTAGTTCAGTTCTAGTTCAGTTCTAGTTCAGTTCTAGTTCAGTTCTAGTTCAGTTCTAGTTCAGTTCTAGTTCAGTTCTAGTTCAGTTCTAGTTCAGTTCTAGTTCAGTTCTAGTTCAGTTCTAGTTCAGTTCTAGTTCAGTTCTAGTTCAGTTCTAGTGTCAGTTCTAGTTCAGTTCTAGTTCAGTTCTAGTTCAGTTCTAGTTCAGTTCTAGTTCAGTTCTAGTTCAGTTCTAGTTCAGTTCTAGTTCAGTTCTAGTTCAGTTCTAGTTCAGTTCTAGTTCAGTTCTAGTTCAGTTCTAGTTCAGTTCTAGTTCAGTTCTAGTCAGTTCTAGTTCAGTTCTAGTTCAGTTCTAGTTCAGTTCTAGTTCAGTTCTAGTTCAGTTCTAGTTCAGTTCTAGTTCAGTTCTAGTTCAGTTCTAGTTCAGTTCTAGTTCAGTTCTAGTTCAGTTCTAGTTCAGTTCTAGTTCAGTTCTAGTTCAGTTCTAGTTCAGTTCTAGTTCAGTTCTAGTTCAGTTCTAGTTCAGTTCTAGTTCAGTTCTAGTTCAGTTCTAGTTCAGTTCTAGTTCAGTTCTAGTTCAGTTCTAGTTCAGTTCTAGTTCAGTTCTAGTTCAGTTCTAGTGCAATTCTGGTTCATTTCTAGTTAGTTGTAGATCACTTCAAGTTCAGTTCTAGTTCAGATTTAATTATTTTCTGGTTCGTTTTTACACTAACTTACAACATTTATGAGAACGAACCTCTCTTACAAATAACTAATTCCTTCCAGTTTCTAGCCTTCATAAAACTTGAATGCTCTACATTTCTTTTGATCAATTTTTTTTTATTCATCCCATTTATCCGTTTAGAAAATCTTGACTTTATTATGGAAAAAGAAAAATAGATTTTAATCATTTTAAATCAATCTTCCTATTTTTTTGTTGTTGTATGTATTTGTGGTACATTTTTTAAATCGATGTGATTAACATAAATTGTGTATATTTATTTAAATAAATAGCTTTGTGCAACATATTAAGCCGGTTAAATGTAACAAGTAACTTTAAACTTGTATGCAACAATGAAAGTTAAGCAATTGATTTTAAATATTTGTTAGAGCATTTTAAATGTTGCATGCATGTATGTATGTTTACGAATGTGTGTGTATTGCTGTTGCATGGCAATCTAGTTTTATACGAAAGTTATCAATTCCATGGAGTTTTACAGTGGCCCCTAAATGTCAATCGTATGAGACATACAATTGACGGATGAGCTGACAGCGCTAAAACTGTTGCTGTTTTTGTTATTGTTGTTACAGCAGTTAGACTATAAATGCTACAGCTTGTGTGTTGCACAATTATAATGCTTACAACTTTTCTTTACATTTGTATGCAACAAGTAAGAAGCCTTTAGCTTAGAAATATTTATAAAAATTTCAAAAATGAATAACACAAATACGACTTTGACTGGTAGAGTACGAGTACAAATCCTTAGTTAGAAAGAAATGTGCAAAAAGCTTCTGTTTAAATAAATCTTTTTATAATAGATGGTATCGATTTTTATGATCATTCATCATCTTCTAGTTGTTTTATTTGGTTTCTTTTTGTTTTTTGGTTTTAATGAACAACAGGTTCTTTTTCAGTTTTTTTTTATATTTGTTTGTTACATTCGAATGGAAAAAAAATAATATTTACACACACTTGTTTTTAACATTGGTTTTCCTAAAGGCTTAAAGGAAAATTGTATGTTTATTAAGACAGAATTGTAAATGAGTTGAATGTTCCCAAATTGTTTCGGGTTTAGTTCTAGATCAGTTCTTCTAGTTAGTTCTAATTCCAGTTCTAGTTCAGTTCTAGTTCAGTTCTAGTTCAGTTCTAGTTCAGTTTCTAGTTCAGTTCTAGTTCAGTTCTAGTTCAGTTCTAGTTCAGTTCTAGTTCAGTTCTAGTTCATTCTAGTTCAGTTCTAGTTCAGTTCTAGTTCAGTTCTAGTTCAGTTCTAGTTCAGTTCTAGTTCAGTTCTAGTTCAGTTCTAGTTCAGTTCTAGTTCAGTTCTAGTTCAGTTCTAGTTCAGTTCTAGTTCAGTTCTAGTTCAGTTCTAGTTCAGTTCTAGTTCAGTTCTAGTTCAGTTCTAGTTCAGTTCTAGTTCAGTTCTAGTTCAGTTCTAGTTCAGTTCTAGTTCAGTTCTAGTTCAGTTCTAGTTCATTCTAGTTCAGTTCTAGTTCAGTTCTAGTTCAGTTCTAGTTCAGTTCTAGTTCAGTTCTAGTTCAGTTCTAGTTCAGTTCTAGTTCAGTTCTAGTTCAGTTCTAGTTCAGTTCTAGTTCAGTTCTAGTTCAGTTCTAGTTCAGTTCTAGTTCAGTTCTAGTTCATTCTAGTTCAGTTCTAGTTCAGTTCTAGTTCAGTTCTAGTTCAGTTCTAGTTCAGTTCTAGTTCAGTTCTAGTTCAGTTCTAGTTCAGTTCTAGTTCAGTTCTAGTTCAGTTCTAGTTCAGTTCTAGTTCAGTTCTAGTTCAGTTCTAGTTCAGTTCTAGTTCAGTTCTAGTTCAGTTCTAGTTCAGTTCTAGTTCAGTTCTAGTTCAGTTCTAGTTCAGTTCTAGTTCCTAGTTCAGTTCTAGTTCAGTTCTAGTTCAGTTCTAGTTCAGTTCTAGTTCAGTTCTAGTTCAATTCTAGTTCAGTTCTAGTTCAGTTCTAGTTCAGTTCTAGTTCAGTTCTAGTTCAGTTCTAGTTCAGTTCTAGTTCAGTTCTAGTTCAGTTCTAGTTCAGTTCTAGTTCAGTTCTAGTTCAGTTCTAGTTCAGTTCTAGTTCAGTTCTAGTTCAGTTCTAGTTCAGTTCTTATTCATTTCTAGTTCAGTTCTAGGTCAGATGTAGAAATTAATACATCCCTTTATTTCTCTGCCCGTTTTTCTATTCATACATTGTTAGGCATTTGAAAAGTAGAACACTTCTCCATTTACTACGACTCTGTACACACTTGTACCACATCCATCCATAATGATTGACCTATGTGGTGGCCATGTAGACCCACTTTCCCCCCTTTTATTGCTTGAACCCCCTCTTAAACAGGGACTTGTTTTCATCTGTGCAAACATACAAAATATTTCTAGTAAAATGAGAGTGAGTGCCATTAGATCTTGGGATTTTTTCTTTAACTTTATTTTTTTTTTTGGTTCGTTCATTTGTGTCCAAAAGGAGATTGATTTTTGTTCCAACAGCAAGTGTATGTGTGTTAAAGTATTTTCGTACCACAGTATATTTGTGTCTACGGTTTGACTTTACTTCCATAGATTGTGGTTAAGTGAGTTGTTAAAAATGTCAATGATTTTGTGGGTTTGATGTAACGTATGGTTAGACTAAAGTGACATTAATTTATGTTAAAAGGAAATTCTTAAGTTTTTATTGCACAAAAATCGTATTCGAACATGTGCTTGTTTTTGTACCATGCACCATGTACACGAAAAAAAAATGGTTATTTCTCATCGATAATGCGTAATGATGATGAATGTTTGAGAGTGTGTTTTACACATACATATTTTGGAATTACAAGAATTTTTCTGTGATGAATATTTGAATATTTTTAATTATGATTGAGAATGAAAGAGATTTTTTGACACCTGTTAATAGAGATTTGTAAATGTGGAAAAAGTAAGGGGGTGGGGTGGGTGTTTATTGCGAGTTCTAATGATCTAAGATCTGGCGGTTTAATGGGAACAAGAATATGGTGCTGTAAATAATAACATTTTCAGGAATGTTTGTTATAAGGCGGGGCCTAATCATGTTTTGTTTTGAGTATTATATTATTGGAAAGGTTCTTGAATATTCTTATTACAAAACTAATTTAATGCATTCCTTTATTATTTAATTAAACCTACAAAATCATGATCTTTTTGTAACAGAAAAAATTTCAATTCTAAGAATCTTTTTTTATTATTATCAATGTTTATTTGATTTTTTGGCATGCACGATTGACCATCGTGTAAAATTTTGTATTTCTTTTACATTTAGTGGTTTATTTTTACAACAATTACTGTTACATTCCCACACTCGTATAAATTTTCCTCTACATTTTGTAGAAAAAAAACGTTATACGTTTGTAACTTGTCGTTTATAACGATTTATGTTAATTTTTTATTTTTATACGATTTTCAATGGAACCAACGAAAAAACTACAACTTTAAATATACCCAGCAGTTTTGGAAGGAGTAAACATCACTGTAGTATTCAAAGATCATTTTGGTGGAAGTAATTTTTGAAAGCAGTTATGCTAAATTTCATAATCATCACTTAAGTGTACCCTAGTAATGTAGAAAGGGAGTCCAACGCTTTTCTTCAGAATGAAGTGTGACCAGAAAGTTGATGTCAAAGAACTCTTTAATGGTGTCTAGTTTTCCAAATGTCTATCAAAAAGTTTTTCCGGAACAATCCAAACCAAACTGCAGGGTAATGGTGGTGGAAATATGTACATAGTTACGTACATTTGTTTCCCTCAATGTATTTAGTGAAGACATTAATCATTCATTTAGGAGTGGTGTTTTAGTTGAGTCGTTTTTATAAAAAATAAAAAAAAATCTAAAAAATATTAAAAAACTCATAAGATTTTTCTTTGTATTTATTTGTTTATTATAATAAAAAGAAGCTTTAAACAAATTAATTTCCAAATAAGCTTGAGAGGTTTTCAATTTACAACGTTTTTTTTTAATAATTTGTAATTTTAAGCTTGATTTCCGTTTATTTACAAGTTCTGTTCATTTAAAAGCATTATCTGTAAGGCTTGGAAAAATTAATTAAGTTTTTAACTCAATTTGTTTAAACATTTTAAATGTATAGCTTCAAGTTATATCAGTTTAACTGATTGTTTTGGTATTATAGTGAAAAAGGTTATTTTAGTTACACTACAATGTTGCAAACAAAAAAAGATGAAGATGATAATGTTGCAAGTATAGCGAACAAGTTTTAAAGGTGTAAAGTTGTTTAAAGATTGTGTAATTGATAATAAAAGGGCTAAATGTTTTGTACTTAACTAACAAATTGTACATAAAAAAAAATGTTGCAAGTCAATAATATAATACTATCTGTTAAATATTACGTGTTCGTATTTTAGAGTTAAAACAGCGGGAAATTCTGACAATTGATTAGAATGCACTAGTCCACTGACTGCTGTTGAGAGGACATACATATCACTTTCAAATGTGTCTAAAGGGATGACAATATCTTTCTTAAGCTCACGCTAATTTGAAAGAATTAGAACTAAGTACTTATAACCAGTTTATGCAGCAAATATGTTTAGAGTCCGTAACTGTTCAGTTCTAGTTCAGTTCTAGTTCAGTTCTAGTTCAGTTCTAGTTCTGTTCTAGTTCTGTTCTAGTTCAGTTCTAGTTCGTTCTAGTCAGTTCTAGTTCAGTTCTAGTTCAGTTCTAGTTCAGTTCTAGTTCAGTTCTAGTTCAGTTCTAGTTCAGTTCTAGTTCAGTTCTAGTTCAGTTCTAGTTCAGTTCTAGTTCAGTTCTAGTTCAGTTCTAGTTCAGTTCTAGTTCAGTTCTAGTTCAGTTCTAGTTCAGTTCTAGTTCAGTTCTAGTTCAGTTCTAGTTCAGTTCTAGTTCAGTTCTAGTTCAGTTCTAGTTCAGTTCTAGTTCAGTCTAGTTCAGTTCTAGTTCAGTTCTAGTCAGTTCTAGTTCAGTTCTAGTTCAGTTCTAGTTCAGTTCTGTTCGTTCTGTTCAGTTCTAGTTCAGTTCTAGTTCAGTTCTAGTTCAGTTCTAGTCAGTTATAGTTTTCAGTTCTAGTTCAGTTCTAGTTCAGTTCTAGTTCAGTTCTAGTTCAGTTCTAGTTCAGTTCTAGTTCAGTTCTAGTTCAGTTCTAGTTCAGTTCTAGTCAGTTCTAGTTCAGTTCTAGTTCAGTTCTAGTTCAGTTCTAGTTCAGTTCTAGTTCAGTTCTAGTTCAGTTCTCGTTCAGTTTAGTCAGTTAAGTTCAGTTCTAGTTCAGTTCTAGTTCAGTTTAGTTCAGTTCTAGTTCAGTTCTAGTTCAGTTCTGTTCAGTTCTAGTTCAGTTCTAGTTCAGTTCTAGTTCAGTTCTAGTTCAGTTCTAGTTCAGTTCTAGTTCTAGTTCAGTTCTAGTTCAGTTCTAGTTCAGTTCTAGGTTCTAGTTCAGTTCTAGTTCAGTTCTAGTTCAGTTCTAGTTCAGTTCTAGTTCAGTTCTAGTTCAGTTCTAGTTCAGTTCTAGTTCAGTTCTAGTTCAGTTCTAGTTCAGTTCTAGTTCAGTTCTAGTTCAGTTCTAGTTCAGTTCTAGTTCAGTTCTAGTTCAGTTCTAGTTCAGTTCTAGTTCAGTTCTAGTTCAGTTCTAGTTCAGTTCTAGTTCAGTTCTAGTTCAGTTCTAGTTCAGTTCTAGTTCAGTTCTAGTTCAGTTATGGTTCAGTTCTAGTTCTACTGTGGGTTTTGTATTAACAATGCAAAAGCATTTCATTGGTAGTATTTTTCTCTAGTCAAATAAACATTTTATTTATTGAACTTGGAAATAACAAGAAAAGTTATAAAAAGTAATTTTTATTGCCTTTAAATTTTTACAACTTAATAAATGTATATTTTATTGACTATTGCAAAATCTAATTAGTTTACAAGAAGTCTACTAAAATTTATATTATTAGAAAAAAACTTTCAAAAAAATTTTGGCTAACAAAACTTGAAAATTATTTTATTAGTATAGACTTTTGTTGCCAATACTCACTCCTGTGAAACAGGTTTTATTATAATAAATAATTTATTTATTTTTATTTTTTATACACAATTGTTCTCGTTGAACTTTAAATAAAATTAGCCGCCGTATTGCCAAACAAATTCATTTATTTCTTTTTTTTTTTTGGATACTTTAAAGCATTCATTTGAAATTAACCTACTTAACTATTTCGCATTGCACTATTATTTTTGTGGATTTTTTTTTCTTCAATGATGTTGTCTTTATAATATTTGTGGCCAAGTGGCCTGACATTGTTATTGGCCAAACGAAAAGCTAAAGCAATGCAATGAATGTATTTTTGCCAACTTACCCGTAAGTGGATTAACTTGAAACGAACTATTTGCCGGCAATAAACTATATCTGATGGCCGCATTTTCTTCCAAATCCAAATCAGTAGCACCAATAACACCAACCAATGAACCACGACTCATATTCTCCTCGATGAAAAATTCATAGGAGGAACGTAAGAAACGTGGATCATTATCGTTGGCATCCAAAACGCGTACCTTAACACGTGTGCTGGTCTGGGCTGGAGGACTGCCATTATCACTGGCCACCACGGTTAAATCATAACGATCACGTGTTTCACGATCTAAAGGCGAACGTAAATAAATCCAACCACTATTAGGATATATGCCAAATATTTGGGAAATTTCTCCCGATGATGAGGAGGTGTTGGTGTTTTGGTTTCTGTGGTTTTTATTATTTTTTGTATTTTTATTGCTGTTGCTGGTTATGAGGGTTTGATTTCCCTGCTGGTTGCTGTTGTTGTTGTTGATAATACGATAAGTGATGCGAGCATTGTTGCCAGTATCCAAATCTACAGCTGTCACTTGTACAATCTAAAATTAGAGAAGAGTAGTTATTTTATTTTTTATGTATTTTATTTGAACATTTAAATTTTTCTTTAGTATTTTTCTTTTATTATTTTCTTTTAAATTAGTATTATTGCTTGGAATGCTTGTAAAACGAAGAAAAACTTTCACAAAATTTGTTTAGTTTTATTGCTGTTGTTGTTTTGCTTGTATTGCTGGATATAGTGGGATAAATTTGTTATAACAAAAATATATTGCAATGATCACTACATTTATTGCTGTATTATAGTTGTAGTAAAGTTTGGTTTATAAATGATACCCTACAGTGGGATAAGGTAGACAGTGAGGGAAAACTTTGTTTCGTTGTTGTTTTTAATAGGACTGCTTAAAGATATGTTATTGTAAATGTTATAAAGACATTTACTAAAAGTTCGAAACATTTTTATGGAAAAATCATGTAGAATAAGCTTCTCGAGAAAAACTATTCTTTAAAGCTTTTTGGTGAAGCTCTTTTAGAAAAAGCATTTTAGATACACTTATAAAGTGTTTTATAAAAAAAACTTATTTGAAAAAGCTTTTTAGGAAGAAGTATATTAGTGAGAAGCTCTTTTACAAAAAAAGCTTTTCTAAAAAAGCTTTTTTATAAATCTTTTTTAGATCTATTTGTTCGTTGAACCATTTACCGTAAGAGCTTTTTGGTGAAAGTTCTTTTAGGAAAAGCTTTTTATATTAATAAAAAATGTAAGCTATTTTATAGGAAAGCTGTTAAAAATTTTTTTTTTTGGGAAAGCTTTTTAAAAAACAATTATTTTTTGAGAACATTTTAACTTTTTTTTTAGAAAGCTCAATTAGCAAATGTTCAACGACTTTCCCTAAAAGGATTTGATGAAGACTCTTTTACTTTTTACATAAATGAAAAAGAGGTTTTTATAGAAAAAGCTTTTTAAAAGAAAGCTAATTTAGAAAATGCTTTTCAAAAAAAAAAAAAATTTTTTTTTGAAATTTCTCGCTTTAGAAAAATATTAAAACTTTTTCCTTTATAAGTTTTTTTCCAAAGCTTTTTTGGAAATCTGTGTATTTGCTAGTTCAAGTTTAAAAAGCTTTTAAGGGAAAATAATATTTTTGAAAAAGTTTTTTATATAAGCATTTTATGAGACTTTTGTTTAATAAAACTACGTTTTTCGAAAAGTTTTTTATAGATTTTTTTGCTACTTTTAGAAAAAGCTTTTTTACAAAAACTTTTTTAAAAATGTGGAAAGCCTTTTTTAAGAAAATCATTCAAGAAAAAACTTAAAAATTGCTTTTGAAAAAACTTTTTAAAAAGCTTAAGAAAGCTTTTTAAGAAAAAAAGCTTTTTAGAAGAAAGTTTTTTAAAAAAGCTTTTTTGGAAGAAAGGTTTTCAAAAAACCTTTTTTTGGAAGAAAGCTTAAAAAAACCTTTTTTGGAAAAAAGCTTAAAAAAACTTTCTTAGAAAAAGCTTTTTAGAAAATGTTTGTTATATATAATAAGCTTTCTTAAAAAAACTTAAAAAATGCTTTTGAAAAAACTTTTAAAAAAGCTTTTAAAAAAAACTTTTTAGAAGAAAATTTTAAAGAAAGTTTTAAGAAAAAATTTAAAGAATGCTTTTGAAAAAACATTTTAGAAAGCTTAAATAAGCTTTAAAAAAAAAACATTTTTAGAAAAAAAAAAACTTTAAGAAAAAACTTTTTAGAAGAAAGCTTAAAAAAACTTTTTAGAAGAAAGCTTTTAGAAAATCATCTTTTTAAAAAAAACTTTTAGAAAGCTTAAAAAAGCTTTTTAAGAAAAAATTTTAGAAAAAAACTTTTTAGAAGAAAGCTTTTTAGAAAAAAACTTAAAAAAAAACAGTTTTGAAAAGTTTCTTTAGAAATAGCTTTTTAAGAAAAAGCTTGAAAATAAAAAACTTATTTGAAAAGCTTTTTAGAAAATGTTTGTTAAAAAATTCTTGCTTGATAAAACCATGTCTTTAAAAAAAGGGTTTTTTAAAAGTTTTTCCACAAGCTTGTTTAGAGCCATACTCTGGGATCAAGTAAACTGTCACCAGACTTTCTCATTGTAATATTTGTCTGCTACTATAGCTCATTTACTAGTCTATTTGTAATTCTTTCATTTCAAGCTGTTATTTGAATTTGTAGTAGTTAGTTAAGCTCTGCTGTAGTTAGTATTCACAAGTATTTGAATTTTTTTTTTTTTCAAACTTAAAAGCATTAGATTTTTGTTTTCATTTATTTTATATTTCTTTTTTCTACAATTAACCTATTTTGACCGTTGGCGTATGTTTTATATATACCCCCTCATATAGACTACAATAAGAGTATAGAAAAAAATTCATACAACATAATAGCGATTAAAATCGTGTCTAGAAATGCGAAGAAAAAGGATTTGTCGTGTAGTTGAGCTTTTTTTTCAACTAAAAATTGCTGTCGTTGCCACCATACTACTGTTAACTCTACTCAAACCAATGTTGATGATGTTGATGATGTGAATTTGTTTCTTGCCTCAACATTCGTTCTATTTGCTACAAAAATAAGAAATAGTTAAAGTTAATGTTTAACAACATACAGACTGATAGAAGATTTCAAAAACATTTGTAAAAATAACGTAAAATTAGCCAAAGGAAAGTTAGGGCTGCTTAAGATTTTTACCAAAACCTTGTTGTTTTTTTTTTGCTATATGGCAATCATTATTATTTGCTGTTTGTGTTTGTCTAACTGTCTGTCTGTCTGGCTCATTGCATTTAACCAAATTGGGGTTAAGTGACTTTCAAATTTTCACTTTAAATATGGTAGTTGTTCGTTAAAGGGGGAGAGGGGGGAAGATAATAAGTTTTAGATTTTTTTTTCGTTAGCTTTTAAATATGTTTATTATAAAAAATATTAGTTATCGTTAGATTAAGACCACTATTGCTTGTCTTAGGGCCATAAACAATAAACTGCTTGGCTTTGCTAGTTTTCCTAGAATTGTAAATGTTTATTTGTATTTATAACAGTTTTACAATATTTATTTTATTGTTAAAGTAATAAGTTAATTACTTATTTTTTCGCATGGTTTATACTCAAGCGCAATGGTAGTGATTATAACGTTTTTCGCTGGATTTTTTTAAAGCAAAGAAATTCAATTTCAATTCTTATTATTTGTTAATAATTATAAAATTTTAACATTTAACCATAAACAAATACATTAATTTTTTTACAAAAAGAGTTATTAATAAAAAATTAATTCTCCACACAGAAGCTTTTACAAAAAATCCAAGGTTGTCTAAAACGTTTAAATAATATTTTTATGCATTTTCGATTTTATATTTTGCAATTGTCGACTTAAGTGAGGGATTAATTTTATTTCATATCAATAGTAATTTATTGACATTGTTGTGTTTTTGTTTAAGTCAATAGTGAGTTAAAAATTAAATGTTTTATTATAATTTTAAGCTTAACATATGTTGAAAGTAAAACTATTTACATGCCACCGCACCTTGTGGTAATTATAGTAATTCGTAGAATTTTTTAGTGGTTTAAAAAGTAATTGTGTGAAATTGTGTTGTTCTGTAATAAACAATATGGTTTAACAAATTTAATTTGAAAAATAACTATTTTTCTGAAAGCTTGTTTTAAAAAGAAATTTATTGTGGAAAAAACTTACTAATGAAAGCTTATTATCAAACAAGTTTTTATTAAGAAAACTAAAGCAACTTTTTACAGCAACGTTTTTTTAGATAAAGCTTGTTTATAGCAAAGCTTTTTTGGTTAGCTTTCAAAGTTTTTCTTATTACCAAATGAGTTTTTATAAAGAAAGCTGTTAGCTAATATTTAGCCTTTTTTTTAAATTTTTTTTGATATTTTTTTTTTTTTTTTGGAAAAACTTTCTTTGATTTTGATTTTATAATAAAGCTAAAAATTTTTTTACTGAAAAGCTTTTTTTAGATTTGACGTTAAAAAAGCTTTCTTATGTAAAACTTTTTTAGGAAAAGCTTTCTCAGATAAAGCTTTTTTAGGAAAAGCTTTCTTAGATAAAGCTTTTTTAGGAAAAGCTTTCTTAGATAAAGCTTTTTTAGAAAAAGCTTTCTTAGATAGGGCTTTCTTAGATAAAGCTTTTTAGGAGAAGCTTTCTTAGATAAAGCTTATTTAGAAAAAGCATTATTAGATAAAGTTTTTAGAAAAAGCTTTCTCAGAATAAACGTTTTTAGTAGAAGCTTTTTGCTTAAAAAGTTGCCGAAAAAACTAACTAATAAAATAAAAATTTAACCAAGTTTAAGTGGAAGTCTTTTTTTTTATAATCAAAAGCTTTAATCCAATTTTTTATAGAGAAAAGCTTTTCGTCATAATACAAAACTTCTGGTCAGAAGTGGTCATTACATAAAGAAATTCTTTTAAAAATTATTATTTTATATTTTTTCAGGAAAGCTTTTCACAGAAAACACCAGTACATATTGCTATGAAAAGTTTTCTGGTAAAAAATTGCTGTATTTCATTACATTATTGTATTTAAAATATATTTACATTAAAATAAGCTTTTAAATTCAAACTGACTTTGTATTAAAAAAAACTTTTTTATAAAAGCACTAAATGTAAAATGTTTATTTCAAAAGCTTCTAAACAAATAACTGTGGTATTTTTAAAAAAATTGTGATTTATAACGAAAAAGCTTTTAATAGAAAATATTATGTTTAAAGGCTTCTAAATATATAAACGGTTGTATTTAAATAACTTTTTATAAGCTTTTTTAAAAGCTTTTTTATTTCGAAAAATCATTCTAAGTAAAAAGCTTTGGCATTTTCAAAATCTTTATAATCCATAAATAAATAATAGAGCATAATGCTCTGTTATTTCAATAAAATTTGTGATTTTTAAGGAAAAAGCTTTTAATACAAAATGTTATTTTTAAAAGCTTCTAAATAAAAAACTGTAGTATTTAAACAGAATTTGTAATTCTTAATGAAAAAGCTTTAAATAAAAGTAGTATTTTTAAAAGCTTCTAGAAAAAATCTATGGTATTTAAATAACTTATAAAAAGGCTTTTTTTATTAAGAATGTTAATGCTCTTAAATAATATTTTATAGATAAATGTTAATTATTAACTTTGAAAAGCTTCATAAGTAAAAAGCTTTTTGTATTTTAAAAAAGACTTTCTTATTAAATATCTTTAGAGAATTTTCATAACCTTAACAGATTTCACTCAAAAAACATTTGTAATTAAAAAAAGCTTTGATATTTTAAAAAGTTTTCCACTTGTAAATAAGATTAAGATGTTGTTTTCAGAAAATCTTTTGAACGCTTTATATAAATAACTTTTTATAGTGAAGGTTTTATAATTTTCCAAATCTTTTAAATAAAAAGCTTTTGTGTTTTCGAAAGCTATCTAATTAAGAAGACTTCTTTGTCTTATCATAAGAACATTGTTACACTTTAAACTGATTTCACTCAAAAGACAAAAGCTTTTAAAATTGAGAAAGCTTTTGTTGCGTTAAAAAGCTTTTAGAATATATAAAAAGCTAGAAGCTCAAAAAAGCTTTATTAGTTTGACATAAAAATGCATATAAACAAGAGAATTTTTTTTCATACTTTTAGGGTCTTATGCATAAACTTTTATCAAAGATTTATAAATCAAATTTCATACAAAATTTGTATTATAAACCTTTGATAAATGTTTATGAATAAGGCAGTTAATATTTTCTATTTATATCTTTAATCCTCTAGGAATTTCATAAATCAAATTTAATTGCTACATATTTTAAATTCCTAGAATTAAGTTAATAAATTTAAAAAGATATGGTTTTTATAAACATTTAATTTTTTTTTTGCCAGAAATATGTAGTTATTATAAATTAAAAACAATCATTAGCGGTTAATTATTGTCATAAGAATTTCTAATAAAGAAAAACGTTTCAAATCCACTGAAGCCAAAGCAAAAATAAGCCACATTTTTTTTGCAACAAACAAACACACATCTGTTGCTAATACATTTCATAAAATTGTAACAATTTGTTATGATATTTTTCTAATGATTGTTAGTTGCAGTAAATAGTTATTGTTAAATGTTGTTGTTACATTAAGCCATAATTAAATGACATTGGTTTTTCAATTCAACAATAACTAGACATTTTTGCAATGGCAACAGCCGCAACAAGCCTACTGGTTTTTTAATTGTTGAAAAAAATACAAAATAAATATTTGTTTTCTATACAAACGATAACACTAGCTAAACAACTGAATTCGATACCCCTAGTATTTGAATAAAGTTTTAGTTTTTCAATTTGTTTTTTTATATCAAAATATACGTATAAAAGTTATTTTATTTGGTTTGGTTTGGTTGTTTGCAAAAACAGAATGCTGAAGAGTTTGAAACAAAAAAACTGTCTAACATAAATCACTCAAATTGTTGGGCTTTTAGCATTGTTTAGTGATTGACTTGGAATATGCGACATGTTGACATGTCTGCTTCGCACAAATAAACAACAAAAATCTATACAAAACCACTAACAACAGCAATGCTATATAATATAATATTATATAGAAAAATCTAAAAAGTTGTTAATACTTTAAAAACAGGAGGCGGTTAAGATTACAAACAAACAATTTAGTTAAACAATAACAGAAATGAATTGCTAAAGCAAAAAGCAAAAACATTTTAATATTTAAAACACACACACACATAAATATTAGTTAATTTAATAAATAACAAATTACAGCTGAATAATGGTTAATAAATAAATCTTTGTAAAAGGATTTAAAAATTCTATAAAAATAAATGTTTACCGCTTGTGTCTTAAGTCTTTTGTTTTGCATATACTACGGCTGACAAACATTTAAGTTTTTTAGAATTGTCATCTCATTTTAAGAATCATTTATTGTTTAGTTTTCTTACTACTTCTGCTTGTTTTTCTGTTTTTCTTTTTGCCAAGCCCAATCTTGTTAGTTATTTTAGTGTGTCTTTTCCAACTCTTACCTGTGAATTAACTGGCATTGATTCCAACACTTTTACATGGTACTCATTACTTGCAAATACTGGTGGATTATCATTGACATCCTGTACTTCCACGACAATAGTTAAATTGCTTGATAAACGTGGCTGCCCAGCGTCCATGGCAGTGACAATTAACGTATGTCTTTGTGAAGTTTCGTAATCTAAGTGTCGTGACAATGTTAGGTGGCCTGAACGTGCATCGATAGCGAAAAGATTTTTTAACATAGAATCCATAACACTACCACTGCCACCTCCACTACTACTACCACCACCACCTCCACCAACAACAACAACATTATTTTTGCCACCATATGCAGATGTTGTGCTTGTGGCTAATGTTGCTGACGATGTTGTTGCTGTTGTGGTAGCTGCTGCTGCTGCTACAGCTTGATTATTTAAAAGTTTCTGTTTCAACTGCATTGCGGGTGAAGAGTTTAGATTTGTTGTTATTTGCTGTTTCATAGAAGATGTTCCTCCGGCTGCCAATGATGATGCTGATGCAGTTGCCCCTGCAGACATCGTGACATTGTTTAATGTGTCTGTTGTTAACATTGTCAATATGTATGAGACTTCAGCATTTTTACCAGAATCCTTATCAAAAGCATGAACGGCATATAATGGTTTGCCTAGTTCAAAATTTTCCGGTACTGATATGCGTATTATGGGTGATTCGAATTCGGGTGCATTGTCATTAACATCTTCGATGGTGATGATGACCTGTAAGGGAATGAGGAAAATATTTAATAATTTTTCGTATTTTTATTATTTTTTGTCATTTAATGAAAAGATGGACTAAAAAGTAAGCGACTAGACTATAGACTAAACTAGACTATAGACTAGACTATATACTAGATTATAGGCTAGACTATAGACTAGACTATAAACTAGACTATAAACTAGACTATAGACTAGACTATAGACTAGACTATAGACTAGACTATAGACTAGACTATAGACTAGACTATAGACTAGACTATAGACTAGACTATAGACTAGACTATAGACTAGACTATAGACTAGACTATAGACTAGACTATAGACTAGACTATAGACTAGACTACTAGACTATAGACTAGACTATAGACTAGACTATAGACTAGACTATAGACTAGACTATAGACTAGACTATAGACTAGACTATAGACTAGACTATAGACTAGACTATAGACTAGACTATAGACTAGACTATAGACTAGACTATAGACTAGACTATAGACTAGCCTATAGACTAGACTAGACTATAGACTAGTCTAGACTAGACTATAGACTAGACTAGACTAGACTACACTAGACTACACTAGACTAGACTATAGACTAGACTATAGACTAGACTATAGACTAGACTATAGACTAGACTATAGACTAGACTACAGACTAGACTATAGACTAGACTATAGACTAGGCTATAGACTAGGCTATAGACTAGGCTATAGACTAGAATACAGACTAGACTATAGACTAGACTATACACTAGACTATTGACTAGACTATAGACTAGACTATAGACTAGACTGTAGACTAGACTATAGACTAGACTATAGACTAGACTATAGACTAGACTAGACTATAGACTAGACTATAGACTAGACTATAGACTAGACTATAGACTAGACTATAGACTAGACTATAGACTAGACTATAGACTAGACTGTAGACTAGACTATAGACTAGACTATAGACTAGACTATAGACTATAGACTAGACTATAGACTAGACTATGGACTAGACTATAGACTAGACTATAGACTAGACTATAGACCAGACTATAGACTAGACTATAGACTAGACTATAGACTAGAATATAGACTAGACTATAGACTAGACTATAGACTAGACTATAGACTAGACTATAGACTAGAATATAGACTAGACTATAGACTAGACTATAGACTAGACTATAGACCAGACTATGGACTAGACTATAGACTAGACTATAGACTAGACTATAGACTAGACTATAGACTAGACTATAGACTAGACAATAGACTAGACTATAGACTAGACTATAGACTAGACTATAGACTAGACTATAGACTAGACAATAGACTAGACTATAGACTAGACTAGACTATAGACTAGACTATAGACTAGACTATAGACTAGACTATAGACTAGACTATAGACTAGACTATAGACTAGACTATAGACTAGACTATAGACTAGACTATAGACTAGACTATAGACTAGACTATAGACTAGACTATAGACTAGACTATAGACTAGACTATAGACTAGACTATAGACTAGACTATAGACTAGACTATAGACTAGACTATAGACTAGACTATAGACTAGACTATAGACTAGACTATTAGACTAGACTATAGACTAGACTATAGACTAGACTATAGACTAGACTATAGACTAGACTATAGACTAGACTATAGACTAGACTAGACTAGACTATAGACTAGACTATAGACTAGACTATAGACTAGACTATAGACTAGACTATAGACTAGACTATAGGACTAGACTATAGACTAGACTATAGACTAGACTATAGACTAGACTATAGACTAGACTATAGACTAGACTATAGACTAGACTATAGACTAGACTATAGACTAGACTATAGACTAGACTAGACTATAGACTAGACTATAGACTAGACTATAGACTAGACTATAGACTAGACTATAGACTAGACTATAGACTAGACTATAGACTAGACTATAGACTAGACTATAGACTAGACTATAGACTAGACTATAGACTAGACTATAGACTAGACTATAGACTAGACTATAGACTAGACTATAGACTAGACTATAGACTAGACTATAGACTAGAATATAGACTAGACTATAGACTAGACTATAGACTAGACTATAGACTAGACTATAGACTAGACTATAGATTAGACTATAGACTAGACTATAGATTAGACTATAGATTAGACTATAGACTAGACTATAGATTAGACTAGACTATAGACTAGACTATAGACTAGACTATAGACTAGACTATAGACTAGACTATAGACTAGATTATAGACTAGACTATAGACTAGACTATAGACTAGACTATAGACTAGACTATAGACTAGACTATAGACTAGACTATAGACTAGACTATAGACTAGACTAGACTAGACTATAGACTAGACTATAGACTAGACTATAGACTAGACTATAGACTAGACTATAGACTAGACTATAGACTAGACTATAGACTAGACTATAGACTAGACTATAGACTAGACTATAGACTAGACTATAGACTAGACTATAGACTAGACTATAGACTAGACTATAGACTAGACTGTAGACTAGACTATAGACTAGACTATAGACTAGACTATAGACTAGGCTATAGACTAGACTATAGACTAGACTATAGACTAGGCTATAGACTAGACTATAGACTAGACTATAGACTAGACTATAGACTAGACTATAGACTAGACTATAGACTAGACTATAGACTAGATTATAGACTAGACTATAGACTAGACTATAGACTAGACTATAGACTAGACTATAGACTAGACTATAGACTAGACTATAGACTAGACTATAGACTAGACTATAGACTAGACTATAGACTAAAATATAGACCAGACTGTTGTTCAGACTATTGATCAGACAAAAGTCCAGAGATTCTATACTAATCAGTTTTATTCATCGGACTATACTTTGAACCAGACTATATAATTTTAAAAAATGTCGGACGTATATTTATGTTTTACCTGTGTATAACCCTGTATACTATTATGACCCATAGTTGCCTTGATATTTAGAAAAACCTGTGCCTTCATCTCATGATCCAGGCTATTGGCAACTCGTATATTGCCCGAGTTTTCATCAATGGAAAAGTAACCTTCAGGATCTCCGGAATAAATTTCATAGTGAACAGCATTACGATTGGCTAAAAGGAAAAAAATAAATTTATTAAAATTTATTCAAACATAAGAAAATTAGGTCAGAGTACTTAAGTCATCTGTGGCTGTTAGAACCTATAGTATTGCATAGAAACTAAATTTATTATATTTATTACATTTATTATATTTATTAAAGCTTTTAATCGCTGTCTAATATTAGCTTTCTGGGCTTTTAATTTAGAATTACCTTAAGAAGCTTAGGATTATATAAAAGGCATAGTTGTCGTTTAATAAAAAATATCCTTGAATTTATAAAATATTTTTTTCCTATACTCATTCAAGCAAAAGAGCATTCATTAATTCAATGATTTGGAAACAAATATCTGAACATTTGATTGACAGCACAGACAATTTCTTTTTGCAGTACAAGCTTCTTCAAACCAAAGTCTTTTTTGGAACATTTTTTTATTTTATTTTAAAATTGAGACCGTTTTTGTGTTTACATGTATGTGTGTGTGTGTGTTTATAACTGGTTGAATGTTTTATTTTCTTTAGAATACACGATTGCACAGTGGGGCAGAATGGAAATTTTTTGGAAATAAATCTGGCATTTCTAAACGGCTGATCCGATCGGGATAAAATTTGGTGTGAGCGTAGCCAAGGAGTATTCGAGTTTAAGTTTTGAAGATGAACCCTGCAGATGCCCCAGGGACGGCGCTGTGGCGGCTCAAAGTAGGGTACCTACGACATGTAAAATTTTTAAACTCGTGCCATTTTTTTGTTTTTCACCCAAATACAAAGATTTTTATATTTTGTGAAAGCGCTCGACGAGATCTTGAAAAAACATGCTTGGACATACTACTTATCTCTTATAATATCCGAGTTATAGGCATTTAAAAATTTAGTGATACAAAATTTACCATACCTTGATCCGCCTTTTTTTGAATACCGGGCGTAATTTTGGACCAAATGGACTCAATTTTTTCTTGTTAGTTAGACAACAAAATTTCCAATAATATACAAAAAATTTCAGATCAATATCGTTTACAGATCCAAAAATATACGTTTTTTAATTTAAAAATTCAAAAAATTTTAGATTTTTGGCGTTTTTTTGCCAAAAATGTGTCTTAACTCTTTTATTAATAAAATAAAATTTTTATTAAGAACATATAACAATTTTATAGTTTTCTAAAAGGTATCTTTACGCAGAACGCTTTGGCGTAAAAAACTTGTCCTATTTTTTGAAAATGTTGCCACTGCGTCCTTCCGAATATGACCTATCTTTTATCAAAACTTCAACTTTGGGCGACATGTTCTAAAATCCCAAAGCTGGGATCAGAAAACTGAAAGCAGTTTTGGAAACCTCAATATGTTTTCTATTTACTCCAAAAGTATTTTCCCAGCCCTGAAAGAAATGTGGACCCTATGGGCAAAAAAGTAAAAAATCCCATTTTGGGATTTTCATTCCTATTTTTGGGAATTGCGGGATGCCCTTTGACCTTTTCAATTTTTTTTTTTGCATTTTCTTATTTGAAATGACAAATTTAACAAGCGTTGAAAATTTCATTGAGTTTTGTTCATAAATAAAGATTTTGTCATATATTACATATTTGTTTAATTTCTAAAACTATGATTTATATCAAAATTTTAATAGGGTCGCAGATAGCTACAACAATTTAGTCCATATTTATCCCTTAATATCATTTTTAGTTAGATATAGAAATTCTCGACCCTTTACAAAAAATTGTAAGCCAATATCTCAATTACATTCAAAAATATGTTCATTTAAACCTGTATCCTTTACTTTCATATTTTTTATATTTTAGTATTAAATATGACAGAACATATTTAAATCTTATATTTACCTATTTTCTATTTGTTTGCTTATCCTTATAATTGAAAGGTCCTATTATGCTTGAATTTTCAAAAATTTATAACCATTTTTTACCTAAATTTTTTCGACAGATCATTTCGTTCTGTTTCGTTTATGATCATGTAGGTAAAAATATACAGGTAATGATAATTTCGATTCATTTACTAATAAGAAATATCAATGACTGAATTACAGGTTATAGTAATATAGTCCTAAATGTTAATAGGTAGACAATTTGTAATTTTTTACTTTGAAATACCTGTATCGGAAATGACAAGAATTGGTATATAAGTAAACTTCTCAGATTTTAAGTACCATATTTAATAAATCTACAATGAAGATTACATTAAAGTACGAAGAGTTGTGTTCCGTTTTATGGAGTATATCTTCAAAAGGGCCAGAAAGAATTGAAGACATTTCAAATTATATAAAAACTACATATAGTAGAAAAGTAGACAAAACAGGCATATCAAAAATTGAAAACTTTTTGATGTAAAAAGTAAGTCTGTGGATGGAAATCAAAAGAAATTTCGATTAAAATTTTGTAGTTGGATGGAAACTACTACGGAAATCTCAACTTACAACACATCAACAGGAGCGCCTTGCAAGTCATACGAAGACTTATGTTCAAGGTAAAAAAAAAGAGGGTCACACAAAAACTTTTTTCAATCTCAAATGAGGAAATTGCTGATACATTTAACGAAATGCTGAAAAAGGAAAACCAACATATGGATGTCGTACATATTGCAACTATTCTTCCTAATGCATCACCAAAACGACTTAAGCGAATTGTGGAAAGTATACCAACTCCAACATCATAATCAAATTTTACTGAAGAGGAAGCAATAGCGCTTATGTTGGAACTGGGTCTCAGTCGAAATAAGTACCAAATATTAAGGAAAGCTCTGCATGAAAAAGGACACAATATATTACCATCATACAAGGCGATCCAGGAAAAAAAAAACAAACTATCCTACTAAATCAACAAAAAATAATGAAGAATTGAAAGAACTGAGAGCTGCGGAAAAAAGCATAATCCAAGAAGAATTTAAAGTTCAGATGGGATTAAACATCGACAAACCACTTTCAAGTTGCGGTAGTACAAATGACGGTAATACGTCGAGAAGGTTTTTTCGTGATTTTGAAATTACTTCAAAAATAACTGGAATCGACAAGGAGTTGCTTCGAAGAGTTAAAACTATTTTAATGGCACTGAATAGTAAACATAAAATTAATGAAAATCGATTTGGGGAATACACATCTGAAATTTCTAAATTACTTGTATCTCTGTATCCATGGAGGGAACTAACACCAACAGTACACAAAGTATTGTGTCATGGTCAAATAATAATTGAATCGAATATTCTTCCACTTGGAGAGTTAACAGAAGAAGCCCAGGAAGCGAGGAATCGAGATTTTAAGCATGTTCAACTATTCAGCTCAAGAAAATGCTCCAGGCAATCACAGAATGAAGATATTTTTAATAGTTTACTTCTATCTTCTGATCCTGTTCTTTCAACTATGCGAAAAAGATGGATTTGTTATGAAACTCTATCATCTCAAAACAAGGAAGATTTAAAGGACTTATATTACCTTCTGGATATGTATACCGATATGACAGATTATTTTATAGAAAATAAGTAGTGTTAGGAATTAACTATATAAGTAGGTTGTAAGAATTAATTGTATTATGTTTAAGATAAACAGTTCAAATAAAAAAAGCTATTATACTAACTGATGATATTGTATTAAATTGTGTTTTATATTTCGGTGGGCGGGAAAGGTAATTTGTGTGGGGTGATTTAGGTGTTGTTGTGCGTGGCTCATAATAAAATTATAATTTTTTTATTTTATATACAATATTATAATAAAATAATTAACTAAATAATTTTTAAAAATTGTCCAAATATTTTATTCAACACTAAATGTATGTTCTGTCATACTTAATACTAAAATATGAAAAAGATGAAATTAAAGGACACAGGTTTAAATGAACATATTTTTGAATGTAATTGAGATATTGGCTTGAAATTTTTTGTAAAGGGTCGAGAATTTCCATATCTAACTAAAAAATGATATTAAGGGATAAATATGGACTAAATTGTTGTAGCTATCTGCGATCCTATTAAAATTTTGATATAAATCATAGTTTTAGAAATTAAACAAATATGTAATATATGACAAAATCTTTATTTATGAACAAAACTCAATGAAATTTTCAACGCTTGTTAAATTTGTCATTTCAAATAAGAATATGCAAAAAAAAAAATTGAAAAGGTCAAAGGGCATCCCGCAATTCCCAAAAATAGGAATGAAAATCCCAAAAATGGGATTTTTTACTTTTTTGCCCATAGGGTCCACATTTCTTTCAGGGCTGGGAAAATACTTTTGGAGTAAATAGAAAACATATTGAGGTTTCCAAAACTGCTTTCAGTTTTCTGATCCCAGCTTTGGGATTTTAGAACATGTCGCCCAAAGTTGAAGTTTTGATAAAAGATAGGTCATATTCGGAAGGACGCAGTGGCAACATTTTCAAAAAATAGGACAAGTTTTTTACGCCAAAGCGTTCTGCGTAAAGATACCTTTTAGAAAACTATAAAATTGTTATATGTTCTTAATAAAAATTTTATTTTATTAATAAAAGAGTTAAGACACATTTTTGGCAAAAAAACGCCAAAAATCTAAAATTTTTTGAATTTTTAAATTAAAAAACGTATATTTTTGGATCTGTAAACGATATTGATCTGAAATTTTTTGTATATTATTGGAAATTTTGTTGTCTAACTAACAAGAAAAAATTGAGTCCATTTGGTCCAAAATTACGCCCGGTATTCAAAAAAAGGCGGATCAAGGTATGGTAAATTTTGTATCACTAAATTTTTAAATGCCTATAACTCGGATATTATAAGAGATAAGTAGTATGTCCAAGCATGTTTTTTCAAGATCTCGTCGAGCGCTTTCACAAAATATAAAAATCTTTGTATTTGGGTGAAAAACAAAAAAATGGCACGAGTTTAAAAATTGTACATGTCGTAGGTACCCTACTTTGAGCCGCCACAGCGCCGTCCCTGGGGCATCTGCAGGGTTCATCTTCAAAACTTAAACTCGAATACTCCTTGGCTACGCTCACACCAAATTTTATCCCGATCGGATCAGCCGTTTAGAAATGCCAGATTTATTTCCAAAAAATTTCCATTCTGCCCCACTGTGGATTGTTTAAGATCTTAACGATTTATATATTGGATTTTTGTTTCATTTAGCTTGTTAAATATTTTAAAAGTTGTTAGTAAAGATTTTGAAGTTTTTTGTTTATTTTTTTGTTAAATATTAAATTTGGCAGTCGTCTTGTTTGTTGCAGCATTTACTCTGCCATCCTTTTTTTTTTTTGTGGTGTTTGTTTGCGGTAAAACCATTTGAAAGCTAAATTTCAACAGAAATTTTATATTATACTTCAAGGCATCAAAATAAAATACTTAAATGAAAGCATAATATAGAAAAAAAAAACCCCAATAAGAAGAAGAGTTTGAGCTGCTTTTTAGCTTTAAATAAACCATTTTGTTGCATTGTTCCAAAAACGTTTTCATGATAGTCATCATGATTTTGTATATTTAAAAAGATGTTTTCTTGCTCTCGTATGCAAAACTTAATGTTCTTATTTGATTTTTTTCTTAAAATTGATTTTGTATTTTTTTTTTTCTAAAGAATTCTTTGGAGTTTTAAAAGTGCTTTTTGGTTTGGGTGTCTGTGTGTCTGTCTGTTTTTGTTGGTGTTGAAATGCAATTTACTTCCTTACTTAAATTCAAGTGATTTTTTTTTTTTTTTTGATTTTTTATTTCTTAACAAAATATTCTTTCTATTGTTATAATGAGATTTTTATAATGCCATTTGATTCGTTGGTTAAATCAATTTTAATGATCCATTTATTCTGGCTTTGAATTGCATTCAAATTATCAAGTGTTTTGCCAAAATGACAGTTAGTTTTTTTTTTTGGTTAAACAGAAATAGGAATCTTCAAGACAAGTCAGAAGTTTATTTTCTAAAGAATTTTGTATTTGCTTTAGTCTTTTCTTTAAGCTTTATTAGAATCTTTTATATCAATATTAAAGAAAACTTTAAACTTTAAGTGAATTCCTTAATAAGTACATAGTTCACTTCTAAAGGATGGTTCTTTTATAATAAGAATTAGCTATTGTATACCCACTACAATACTTGGTTATAGTAAAGTAATGAGAGTTTCTTAGGTTTTTATTACGATCTCTTAACTCTTTATACTGATTTCGAGAGTGATACGAAATGATTTGGTGTTTCTACATTGATCAACACTACAGAATGATCTATAATATTCACTATAGCATGATCTATAGTCTTCACTGTAGAATGATCTTTAGTCTCCACTACAGAATGATCTTTAGTCTTGACTAAAGAATTCTCTATGTCTTCACTAAAGATTGACCTATAGTCTTCATTATATAATTATATTATTATATAATATAGAGAATAATGTATGATTTTCACTACAGAATTATATACAGTCTCGACTATAAAATGATCTATAGTCTTCACTATAGAATGATCTTTAGTCTTCACTATAGAATGACCTATAGTCTTCATTATATAATCATCTATAGTCTTCACTGTAGCCTTAACTAGAGAATAATGCATAACATTCACTACAGAATGATATAGATATCGAGGTTCTGGATCATTTTATTGCCTCAGCAATAGTATAGTATCGATTATAGTATCTAGTATAGTATCTAGTATAGTATCGATTAGATATTCACTTACATATAGTCCAGATCATTCTAAAGTCGAGATGATCTAAAGTCTCGACTAAAGATTGATCTACACAGATAGTCTCGATGACAGATTCATCTGCAATCTCGATTACATATTGATCTATAATCTCGATTAAAGATTGATCTACGATCGACTATAGAACAACCTATAATCCCAGCATTACTTGGGATTACTTGATCTACATATAGTATCGCACAGTGGTATAGGAAAAAAAAAAGAGGGAAATAATTCGGTAACTTCTAAACGGTTAATCCGATTTTAATGAAATTTGGTGTGCACAAAGAGGAGGTGTTGTCGAGTTTAGGTTTTGAATTTGGACCTTATAGGCCAACCAGGGGCCCGGCAGGGGGTCATCAAATTAGGACACCTCGGCTATGTTAAATTTTTAAAACGATCCTATTTCTTCATTTGAGTTCCGATTTAAAAAAAAATTCGTATATAGAATCTCCTCATCGAGCACTATAAAAAATGTTGTCATAGCAGTAAATTATCTCTTATAGTTTAGGAGATATTCGCATTTGAAAATTAAAATTTTAAAATTTTTACCGTCCTTACTTTAGTTTTTTTTGATAATAGCAGGTCCAAATATTCCCGATTTTCGCCATTTTTTTTTATTCGCTTAACAACAAGTTTATATATCAAGCAGTGAAAGAATTATGTAAAAATCATGACTGAGTCCAAAGTTATAGGCATTTTAATTTAAAAAATTAAAAAAGGCGATTTTTTGTCATTTTTTTGGGAAAAAAGTATCTTTTTCTTTTTAAGTTATCTAAAAAGTTTCTAAGAAGATGTATATAGAATTTATACTTTTTGGAAAGCTGACTTTACATAAAGTACGATAAATGAAACAAAACCTAAAAATTTTTGATACCGAGGGGACCAGGTCCATCCAAAAAAACCCTATTTTTTATGGAAAATTAAATTTTGAGCAAAAATTCTCAAATCGCATAGTCGATATCAAATTATAGTGACCTGTTTTATATGACCCAATATGTTCTTAATCATTTTGTAACGGGTTTCGATAACCCCGCCCCTGGTATGGATATAATAGGCAAAAAACTAAAAAATCCCATTTTTGGGATTTTTTAAAACTTTTTTGGGAATTCCGGGATTTCTAATAAGAAAATTCGAAATTTTGATTTAATTTTGGATTTTAAGTAAAAAAATCTACCTAACTGTAAAATTTCATCAAAAAATATTCATAAATAAAATTTTTATTGCAATTTGAAAAATTTGTATCTTCGCAAAAACTGAATAAAAAACATTTTTTAATTTTTTTTAAAAAAAGTATTCCGCGAATTTTTTAATTTTCAAAAATTATATACAGTTTTGAAAAATAGACAAAATTACCTTTCCATTGATATATAACATGCCTACCTAATGTTTTTTAAGTGACAAATTAATTAGGGAAAACTCAACATCTTTTAGAAAATTTGCCTAGCACTATTATTTTCATCCATAAGGTTAACTCTTAAATTTGTTACATATATGGATGAAAATAATAGTGCTAGGTAAATTTTCTAATTAATTTTTTCCCTAATTAATTTGTCACTCGGAACTCAAATGAAGAAATAGGATCGTTTTAAAAATTTAACATAGCCGAGGTGTCCTAATTTGAGGACCCCCCGCCGGGCCCCTGGTTGGCCTATAAGGTCCAAATTCAAAACCGATATATCGGTTAAAGACTAATCTATAGTATCGACTATGGAGTAGTCTATAGTTAGAAAATGATCTATAACTTCCAAAATAGAAATATATATATTCTTCCTATAGAGTGATCTATAATTGAGATTCTAGATCATTTTATAGCCTCAACAATAAAATTATCTAGTATAGTATCGATTAGATACATATTTTTCTACATATAGTCGAGATGATCTAAAGTCTCGACTACGGATTGATCTATACTACAGATATAGTCTCGATGACATATTGATCTGCAATCTCTATTAAAGATTGATCTACGATCGACTATAGAAATATCTATAATCCCAGCATTATTTGGGATTAACAATAGATCATATAGATCTATAGTCTCGTCTATAGACTATAGATCATATAGATCTATAGTCTCGACTTTATAATGATCTATAGTCCTTGCATTACTTGAATATAGTTGAGTAATATAAGTCTTTAAACTGAATTATATCAAAGTGGAAAATTGACAAGTGAAGCTTGAAGATACTTAATAACTATTAAATACCACCTGCATTACTTGGATACAGCTAGGTAATGATTATCTTGCAAAAAGCTTTATTGTGGTAAAAAATGAACATTTTAACAAAATCTATTTTATTTTGTGGTTATGCAATGATATTTAAGATCCTTTGTATACCACCTACATTACCTGGGTGTACTTAAGTAATAAGTTTTTTACAAGATAAATGATTTAACTCAATTTTGGCTTAATATGAAAAAACTACAACTAAATTTTAGATTTTTTGGTTTTAAAGTTATATTGTTGAGCTATTATCCACCCTCTGCATTACACGGGTATAGTCAAGTACCTAATGACATTTTTGAAGGGAACCTTATTAGAAAGTTTGATCTCACTTTTACAGAAAATAATGAAATCTCTTGCTGATTTCCTTAGGAAAATTAATAATTTAAAGGTCCTGCTATAATATTTAGATTCATATCATATACTTTATGCATTACATGGTTATAATTAAGTAATGAGAGTCTTATAAGGAACATTTAATTATGATCTACTCTCTCCATTACTTGGTTATAGTTTAGTAAAGAAAATTAATAATTTAAAGGTTCTGCTATTATATTCAGATTCTATCACCTACCTAATGCATTACATGGTTATAGTTATGTAATGAGAGCCTTATAAGGAACTTTCAATTATGATCTACTCTCTCCATTACTTCGTTATAGTTTAGTAATGCAAACCTTATACTCTGCAAACACTTTTCTCTGTACTCACCTGCATCCGAACTTGTGGCCTGTATCGTACCCACCACACTGCCACGTACTACATCCTCTTTGACGTAAAAATTATAACGTAATTTCTCAAATATTGGTGGTCGTTGCGTGGCATCTATAATATTGGCAAATACTAAAGCATCTTGTTGAGTTCTCAAACCGCCACCATCACTTGCCGATACATTAAGAACATGCAGAGATTGCGTGCGTGCCGATAGCATATTTGGACGATTTAGAAATATTTCACCAGTTGAACGTTCAATACGAAATAAACTGGCATCATTACCACTAACGATGCGATAAGTGATAATACCAAAACGACCAGAATCGGGATCGGTGGCAGCTACTGTTACAATCGGGGTATTTGAAGCGGTCGTAGAGGCCGTCTCACGTAAAGAAATGTTATAGTGTTGAGGAAAGAATATGGGACGATTGTCATTGATATCGGTTAGTTGTATTTTGACCATGGAAGTAGTGCTAAGGCCACCTGGAAAGACAGAGAGAGAGAGAGAGAAGGTCCGTTAATTTCCATTCACAAAGCTTTTTTATTTGCTTGCAAATTAAAATGTTTGTATAAATTTCTTTACTCACCTCTATCTGTTGCTATAATGGGAAATTCATAAACTTGTTTCTTTTCAAAATCCAACTCGCCAGCAATGCAAATTTCTCCAGTGGCCGAACGTACATTAAATTCACTAAAATACTTTGAACCCACTGATCCCATAGTGTAATTAACCATGGCATTAACACCACAATCTGGGTCATTGGCTGACACCTGAAAATAGAAAATAACATTAAAAAAAATATTAATAGTTTTTCACCAAAAATAGCAGAAATTTTATAAAATAACTTTAATTAACTTTATGACTTGCTTTTTTTACAACAATTTTCTTAATAAATTAAATATTTGTTTAAATTTTATAGTTTATATTTTTCAACTTTAAAATTAAATTTGCTTAAATGTCAAAAGTTTGCAAAAACTCTAAAAACTCCAAACAAATTCTCTGATCTTTAGATTAAGCTTAGTTTGTGTTGTAATGTTTTTATTATTTTTCTTTTAGCTGACCACACGTATTAGCAATTTTTAGTTTATTATTATATTTTTCAATTAAAATTCTTTATTATAAAAAAAAAAATTGTGGTAATACATGTTGGCCTACAAAAGTTTAATGGCTAAAAATCACATGTTGTTGTAACAATTTTTTCACGTATGATTACAATCGGTAAAAATGTTTATATGTTTTAGTAAATAGGGGGGTTTTAATAAAGTTATTTACAAATTATTATTAATAAATATGATTTTGTAAACATGATTAAACATTTTGTTTGAACAAAGTAATATTTTACAATATTTATAATTAAAAGTTATTTAAAAATGCATTAAAAAAGAGATTTTCATTGTAAAATTTATTTTCAGTGTAGAAATGTATTTTTATACCTTACACCACTTTAGTGGGGAGGGTATATTGGATTTGTGCTGATGTTTGTAACGCACAATAATATTGGTCCTATACCCACTTTAAAGTATAACAATCGGCTTAGAATCATCGGACATTAGCTACGTCCGTCTGTCTGTCTGTCCATGTAAACCTTGTAATCAAACTACAGTTCGCATTTTTAACGATGAAATTTGATACATGATTGTCTATTGTCTCAGTGACAAAGCCTACTGAAAATGGTTATGATCGGTCCATTACTTCACCTAGCCCCCATACAACTGAAACCCTGAAAAGGGCTTGTAAGCCTTGCAATCAAAGTACAGGTCGACATTTTGAAGATAATTCAAATGAAATTTTGCACATGATCTTCTATTGTACTAGAAACAAATCCTATTGAAAATGGGTAACATCGGTCCAATATTTCATCTAGCCCCATACAACTGAACCCCCAGAGTAAGGCTTTTATGTTCATAATTATGATCAATATACTCGTATCTCGACAAAAAGCTGCAAACCCAAGTTCTATACTAGCCTTCATGACCCTGATGATAGGGCCTCATTTGACCCCTATATAAACCCCAACTTAAATGCTTTATTATGAACACTAAAACACATTATAACAACATTTTATAACTGGTGTAGGGTATTATATATATACTATAACTTCTTACTTGTTGTAGGTTAAGTTAGGTTAGATTGAATGGCAGAAGTTTATTACATCTGATCCGAAGATATAAATACACATAGGCCATTATCGAACTAGTTCTACGCTCTTTTTCCTGCAAATTTGTTATGGAAAAAAACCTCAGATTTGTAGACGTAGTTCTTCTAGTATTGTTCAATCTGTGGCCTTGAGGAAAGTAATACCTAATTTCCGTAAAAGTCTGGTTATAATAAAGCAATTATTACCTAGATCATGCCATTATCTTTTCTTGTCCTATTTCAGAGTGTTGCTTATTCTGCCGTATAGTTAGGGACTTCATTTGAAAGCCCTTATATTCGGGTTTGATCTAACAGATTTTTTTCAGAACACGTTAAAGAGTTGTGTAAGTTACACTTGGGGAGTCCTTAGCTTAACTCGATATGATATACTGAAGCGACTTCTTCAATTTTCTAGTCTGTCAAGAGACAATCATTCCAATATTTGATCTAGCCCCCATACAACTGAACTCCCAGAGTAAGCTTTTAAGTTCATAATTATGTTCAATATACTCGTATCTCGGCAAAAAGCTGTAAACCCAAGTTCTATACTAGCCTTCATGACCCTGATGATAGGGCCTCATTTGACCCCTATATAAACCCCTATACGACCCCTTCGAAATATTACTTAAATGTACACAATTTTATTCAACAAAAATGGCTAAAGTATATCTGAGACAAGGTAAAATTCAACTTAAATGCCTTATTATGAACACTAAAACACATTTTTTTATAACTGGTGTAGGGTATTGTATGATCGGGCTCGCCCGACTATAACTTCTTACTTGTTGTAGGTTAAGTTAGATTAGATTGAAAGGCAGAAGTTTATTACATCTGATCCGAAGATATAAATACACATAGGCCATTATCAAACTAGTTCTACGCTCTTTTTCCTGCAAATTTTTTATGGAAAAAAACCTCAGATTTGTAGACGTAGTTCTTCTAGTATTGTTCAATATGTGGCCTTGAGGAAAGTAATACCTAATTTCCGTAAAAGTCTGGTTATAATAAAGCAATTATTACCTAGATCATGCCATTGTCTTTTCTTGTCCTCTTTCAGAGTGTTGCTTATTCTGCCGTATAGTTAGGGACTTCATTTGAAAGCCCTTATATTCGGGTTTGATCTAACAGATTTTATTCAGAACACGTTAAAGAGTTGCGTAAGTTGGGGAGTCCTTAGCTTAACTCGATATGATATACTGAAGCCACTTCTTCAATTTTCTAGTCTGTCAAGAGACAATCATTTTTTGGTTGTAAAGTAACGATAAAGTAATTATAACCTAGATCGTTTCGGTATCTTTCCTTGTCCTCTTACAGTGTGTTGCTTTTTCTGCCGTATTGATAGGGACTTCATTTCAAAGCCCCTATATTCATTCGGGCATGATCTAGCAGATTTTTTTCAGAAACATCTTTTTCAGTTTTTTTCTTGCCTATCCATAGACAACTATGGGTTGTCTTCAACCATTAAAGCCAGGTAATGATAAAGTTATTATAACATAGATCGTCCCGCTATCATTTCTTGTAATCTTTCAGAGTGTTGCTTTTTCTGCCGTATTGATAGGGACTTCATTTCAAAGCCCCTATATTCATTCGGGCATGATCTAGCAGATTTTTTTCAGAAACATCTTTTTCAATTTTTTTCTTGCCTATCCATAGACAACTATGGGTTGTCTTCAACCATTAAAGCCAGGTAATGATAAAGTTATTATAACATAGATCGTCCCGCTATCTTTTCTTGTAATCTTTCAGAGTGTTGCTTTTTCTGCCGTATTTATAGGGACTTCATTTCAAAGCCCTTATATTCGGGCTTGATCAAACAGATTTTTTCCAGAAGGCCTTTAAAAATTGTGTACTTCGGAGTGTCCATAGCTTGACTGAATATGATATGCTGGGTCGTCAACTTCAACATTCTCCTCTGTTCCAAGATAGCCAATTTTTGGTACTCAATAGCTAAGCTATGTTTTTCGCCTAACAGTTCCACCATCCTCTCTACTTCATAACTGTTGGGATTAGGTATTATGTTGTTGTTATCATTTGATAAATGTTGTGTCGAAGCAGTCATCTGAGGTTGCTTGAAACCCTATGCCGCTAGCTTGTATTGTATTATATCAACTAGGGCAAGCCATTCGCAGAGAAGTTGGAAGACCCTCTCCCTTTATCCTTGTCATTGCAGCTGTTATTACTTCCATTGTTTAATGTTATTACTGTCAGCAACCTCGATATAAACCGCCTGTTTCGGGTTATAACTTACCTAGAGTGTTTCTCATTAAAAGATGGTCCCAGATGCGAGTTAGTCAGGGCTTCAGTAAAGCAATTTTGTATGTATTTAAGTCCCTGTACCGAGACCAAGAGTCGCAGGTTATAGCATCATGGTAAAAATTTATTATATTCTACACCACTATAGTGGGGAGAGTATTATGCGTTTGTGCTGATGTTTGTAACTCACAAAAATATTGGTCCTACACCTACCTTATCGTTTCAGAATCACTTGAGTCACTTGGCTCTTCATGTAAATCTTGTGAGCAAGCTACAGTCCGCAATTTTGAAGATATTTTTATAAAATTTGTAACAAACATGTTTTTCGGCACAGGGACGAAGCCTATTGAATATGGTTGATATCGATCCATTATTTTACTTAGCCTCCATATAACCGGAACTACCGACTTGGACTTTTTAGGCCATTACAACGTCAAATTTATTACTATCTCTCTAAAAATCTGCAAAATTATGTAAAAATTCTTTAAATTCTGAACTTATTACTAAACCTACCAACCCTCCCCTTTGCTGCTGCTGCTGCGTTTGTTGCAGCTGCTGTCATTGTTAACATTTAACTTAATAGTAAATCCAACCACTGAGTGTATGATTGCTAGTTTTCAAATCTTGTATGTTTAAAATCGTAATTATTTTGTTATAAAGTTTGATTTTATTTTTTCTTTAACATTTTTTACCACAAGTTTACTTTTTTATAAATTGCCTGCTTAATTTTTTTTCGATTTTTGCATTTTGTTTTTTACTCTTGCTACATCATTTGTAAGTATAAATGTATTTTGCTTTAACTTATTGTTGCAAAAACTTACATTTTCATTTAAAATTCCAAACACACTTAAAGCAGGGGTTGGGATAAAAATGAAACGAATGGCAGCTTATTTTTTTTTTAAATGTTTTATTTCTGATTACAAATGAAGTTGTCAAAATATTTAACAGGCTAAATAATTGTGCACACACTAGAGCAATGTTGGAAGGACAGACAGATAGTTGGACTGTAATTTGAATGCATAAGAAATGTTTTTAGTATGATGTGTTTTGTTTTTTATTATGTTTTAATTTGCCAGAAAAATAAATAATAAATTTATATAATTTATTTTGATTACAAATGTTTGAAATATGAAAACTGTTCTAAATATAGAATTAACCATGAACAAAAATGTTAAGGTTGTTGTAAGAATGAACAAGATTTCTGTAAAATACTGAAAAATAATAAAAAATTCTTTGCATAACATGCAAATTTTGTTTAAGAAAAGAGAGAGAGAGAGAAGAGACATAAAGTGTTCACTCACTCATAACAACAGCTGTTTACATTTGCCTATTTAAAAGCTTACAAGTAGGCTGATGGGTAAACAGTAATAAGTCTTTAGCA